AACAAATTGTGCTGGACAATCGTGCAACGAACGATCGTGCTGGACTGAAAGAACAAGACGTGCTTCGTTTGGTAAAGAGCTTAGTCATCAGCAGACTAACATACTCGCTACCCTACCACAACATGAATAGAGAGGAGAAAGAAAAAGCAGACAAAATAATAAGGATGGCGTATAAAGCGGCTCTGCGACTACCACGAAGCACTTCAACTGCGAAGCTATTAGCGCTCGAACTTCACAATACATTTGATGAGTTGGTTGAGGCACAAGTAACCACCCAGATTAACCGCCTGCTACAGACGCCAACCGGCAGAAAGCTTCTTCAGAGGATCGGCCTCGGTGAACAAGTACAGGCACATGGAAGAGCTAAGGAATTGTCGTGCTCAGTCAGAGCCTGGTACAAAATATGCCCCCTACCAAAGAACATGGACCCAGTTTTACATGCTGGAAGACGTAAAGCAAGAGCCGTTTACATAGATAAACAGACAAAATATCTGAATACGGCGAGATTTACTGACGCTGCACCATATCAGGCAAATGCAAAGAACATGGTGGCCGTGGTCACAGACCGAAAAGGAAACGTCACAAGTTGTGCCTCCATAGCCCAAGCCTCTATCACAGAAGCGGAGGAGATAGCGATCGCGCTGGCAATCAAGGAGGGCAGGGAGCGAAAAGCCCCAATGACAATAATCACAGACTCGAAGGCTGCATGTAGAAATTACGAAAAAGGTAGAATATGTATGAAGGCCTTCCAAATTCTAACCAAAGCTCACAAGGACTTCCCAATTGAATACACTCAAACCATTATCTGGGCGCCAGGGCACGAGGGCGTCACCGGGAACCAGTTTGCGGATGAGGCGGCTCGAGGCTTCACAGATTACCGAGCTTCCTTGCACACTGCAATAGAGGAACCAACGCCCCTAGACCCTAACTTTGGTGCAATTCTTCAGTATTACAGGGACAATAGAAAAGTGTATCCAGCACCGCATAAGAAACTTACAGCAATGGAATCGGTGGCATTACGCAGAATCCAAACAAACACATACACGAACTTACACAGGCTGCATGTATTCTACCCCACAGCATACAAAGATATATGTCCGTGGTGTGGGGCCACACCAACTCTGTTTCACGTCACGTGGGAGTGTACGCATCACAATGAAGAACACCACAACATGAACAACACAGAGGAACAATGTGAGGCGCTGCTGTCCAGCTCGGCCATTGTTGATCAGCGCTGGCTGGTCCAACGGGTAGAGATGATGGCTAGGGCCAGCGGAGCCCTAGAATAGGGGCCCGACCATTTGGAATGCTCCGCGTTATGCGCAAATAAAGTTTTCTCTCTCTCTCTCTCTCTCTTGCACTCTGGAGAAGCCGTCAGTGCAGGGTCAGATAAATTTTGCCTGATTTTAAGTGTGCGAAATCGCGCCACCGTAATGTATACTGTATGAGGGAAAATAGGAATTATTGGTGTCGAAAGGGATGCCTTCGCAAGAGAATCTTCTGTTTCGTTTAGCAACAAACCTTTGTGCCCTGGTGTCCAGATTAAATGAATACTTCGGAGATGACAGGGAATCAATGATTTAAAACGTTTCACTATAGGTGAGTGACCAGATGCGGACAGAGAAGAGCACACTGATAATGAATCAGTTATGACTGCTACGACTGGAATGGAAATATTTACCTTTCGCAAAGCTAACATTATTGCCATGAATTCAGCCAGAAAGACAGGAAGAAAACTCGGTAAGCGAGTGAAAATGACCAATCTAGTACGGGGCAATATATTCCAACGGTCTTTATACAGCTCACTTCTTCTTCCTCTTCCTCTTTAGGTATCATTGTATGAAACTCTATGGCGTTAGGTAACACCAAATTTGGTTAGTGGAGCTAGAAAAACAGCCGCGAGCGCATCATCAAGGGCCCAATATACTTCGAAGTAGCATGGACGCGTGCGCACGCTGGGCACAGTGATACTACGTTAGCAACACGTGAGCACTTATAGGCGCCGTTCAGTCGAGTTTTCCAGTCTGACTGCAGTGCCAAAATACATAGCCTAGCGGATATCTGTCACCAGTGATTGAATGCGGATATGTGTCACCACTGATTGAAAACAGGCTGGAACGACGAGACCCCACATGGGCAATTTTAACTCGTGAGCGTTAAGAAAGCCTAATATCGGCAACGTTCCCCCAACAAATACAAAGAATATGTGTTCTGGGAGGGCAGGGACTGGTCCTTAAAGGGCCGCCGCGTGCAAACATTACGCGGGTGTGGCGTCGGCAGTGGCCTGGGCACGCTCAACAAACGGCCGTTGGGCCGTCAGGTCAGAGCAGTCGATGTCAGGGTCCCACCGGGAGTGAAACCCAAGCATTGTGCGCGACAACCAAGCATTCTACCACAGAGCCATTTTAGACCTCGGAACTGCTTTTCAAAAAGGACCCTAATGCTCGTGAAACGTCAGTTGTGGTTGCAGTGCTGGCTGTCTGATTTTATAAAGCTTACACATGTATTTTTGATATACCCGTCACGTCACGTCGGGTTAACGTAGTTGTATTTGGGCGCTGTTTTGAAGTTGATTTATGTAGGAGTGTCTAGGGGGTTATCATCTTCATGAGCACTACTGCTTCATATCGTTTATCGTTTCTGGTGTTGCTAATGCTCATGTTCCTGATGGAATCACGTGTCGCCCAATAAAAATAAATAGTCCATGTCGTGTCGCGCAATAAAAGATTACAACACATTCAACATTCCTCCGCATGTTTCGTATATTATCGATTCCAAAAATGCGTGGGACCTGCCAATTTTCTATTGTTTCTGCCTCACCGCGGTGGTCTAGTGGCTAAGGTACTCGACTGCTGACTTGTAGGACACGGAATCCAATCCCAGCTTCGGCGGCTGCATTTTCAATGGAGGGGAAAACGCTGTAGCCTCGTGAGCTCAAATTTGGGGGCAGACTTGATTTCCGGAAAGGAATAGCGTTAATATGAGTAATAAGTGTTTCAGAACATGAAAGCGACAACAAGCCGGCACACAATGCACACTTCATACCGAGTGAGTCGTCAAACGCACCACTCCATTAGAAAACTTGTTCTTGAACACCTGTTAAGTGTGACGCATAACCACTTCAGGCACAATTATTCATCGTCATCAGTCACTGCATAAAACAATTACACAAATTCCTAAGAAGTTTGTAGCGGGTACCACACACTTCTCCAACAAATGACGAAGGATAGAGTAGTGAATGATGGCCTTCTACAAAAAAAAACGTTATGATTATTTGTGTCGTAGTGGGTACCAAGCAGTGTGTTTGCAGCACTTACCTAAAGGTTGTTTGGAAAATATTCTAAAAGGCCGATCTTCGAGCTTTCGCTGCGACCGTGCTGCGCGTCCCGCACATGCCTGGCGTTTTTTTGTCATGGGAGTGACAATATTCCTCCCATGCGTTCTTGCTTATCATGTTGGCTTCATTGATGTTCTTTATACTGTAAGGTTTATCAAAGTTGTGCACTTTGTCTTTCTTCACGAGTTAAAAAATCGCACGCCACTCTACCAATTCAAGAAGCTTCGTGTAGGTGAGAACGTTCCCGTAGTCTGTACTGAATATACTTCTGCATTTTTGTAAACCAACTAAAGCAAACATTTATTACTCTCTGAGCAGCAGAAAACAAGGCTAGTCGTTTTTACATTGCTAATCTTTACTTTGCTGATATTAGACTTTTCTTTGTCTGCAGGTCAGGTGCCTATATTCTTACCAGTGGCGATGCTTTCTGATTAAGTACTTTATAAATGTACACTCTTATAAAAAAGTAATGCTAAATTTGGGGTAGTATTAGTTTGTCACATATGTTACAGCCCTGGTAGTAAGCGCGGTTAGTAACGGTGAGGGCGGTAACAGTTACTATCTTTGCGGTTACTACCAGCATTTGGTAACTGTTACTACCGTGGTCATTACCACCCATGGGTAGAAACTCAAAGGTTCCAAAAAATTTAGTAATCGATACTAACCTGTTCATTCATTTTGACCTAGTTCCCCATTGCTAATGTTGGACAATCAATGTTTTATTACTACACAACTTCGAGTTATCTAGCGTGATATGCCATGATCGCGAAAAATAGACCTAACAAGTTACTATTTTTTACTTTTTTTTAGTTATCTATTTTTTACGCATACAATATGAATTAAGCATGGGGTATATAGAGCCCCCACTTTGCAGGTACATGTCTGGCACAGGGGAGCACTTGTGTTTCAGGTTGAATTATAACAAATGTGAACCTGTACCACTATAATATGCTACCTGGTTAGGTGTGTTTGGGGACGTAGCACAGGACGTTTGATCAGCCCTAATTATAAAAATATTATATGCCATATCCATTCATTATAACAGGGCCACAAACAGACGTTATGTACAATGGTCGAAACAAGGTACCGAACTTATTCTCAGTGCATTTAAATGCTTCACAGGGCTAGTATATCAGCGGTGAAAAGGTTCTAATCGTTCTTGGGGTTTGACGCACCAAAACAATGATAATATTTGAATACACGCCACAGTGGATTAATTTTGACTGTCCGTGGGGCTAATTGTGACCGTCTGGTTATTATTATTATAATTCCTTTCATAAATTATGATTTCTCTCACGATTATTCCTCTCATAACTATGATACCTCTCATAAATTATCAGAATCGGAATCGCACACTGTTTTAGATTAGATAGTCAACAGCGTGGTAGCAAAAAGGTAGTAACAGGGCAAGAAAGGTAGTATTGGCTGCAGTTACTACCTCCTTCATTCCAGTTACTGGCTGTTTACTAACGTAGGTAGTAAACAGGTCGCAAAAATTTAGTAACGGCTGCAGCTAGTAACTGTTTACTAACATAGGGAGTAAATAGGTATCAAAAGAGCAGTAGCGACCCAAGAACGGTAGCAACCACTGCAGTTACCACATATTTGCTTGCAGTTCATATCTTTTTACTAACTATTTAAGAGTGTGCACGGTCGAGGTCAAGCGTCTTTCGAAAATAAACTTTATTGATTGATACAATTCGTCAAGGATCAATACTTAGTGCTTCATCTTCGGCACTGCGACATAATACCAAGGGCTGCTCGCGTCCGATAAGCGTTCGTTAGAACTTTATTCCCTGGTGCCAAGTTCCTACCCACAAAGGGATTTTAGGCACGCGTCGCTGATACGCGCCTCTTCAGCGCTGCTCGGCTCAGCGCGATCTGCAGGCTCAGGTTCAATCCTGGCTTGTGCCTCATTGGCGCTGCTGCTGGCCGGCATGGCACCACTCTCTACAAGAAAGGAAGCAGGTAAAACAGCTTAGATGAAACCTCAAAAGACCAAATAACGCCATGAACAGGGATATCACTATAGCGATGAACGTGCGATAAAGTTTACCGTGCATATACTTTGAGGGGCGCTTGAGGGCATGGTAGGTTTTGTGTCGGCTTAGTGCATCTTAAGCAGTAAAGCAGTCACTGCGTTACTTCAAAGGGGAAAAATTGCGCCGTCTTCCGTAAACGCAACCATGTGTACATGAGAAGCAGCGGGCGCTAACAATTACACAGGTGGCGGCGTTGACGCTGGGTCTACGAGAGGGGGGAGAGGGGGTGCACAAGTGGAATGGCGGTGTAAACGGCGCGAGGAGGAATGGCTTTAGAAGAGATAGGGGGAAGATATTGAAGACTAGCAGGCGCTGTCTGCGTTGGCTTTGCTAGGCGAGAAGGGGGAAACGTAGGAGGGGGGTGAAATAAACGAAAAGAAGAGAAAAGTGAGCCCCGTAACTGTCTCTCATGTGGAGGACACTTCAACAGTAGCTCACGAGGGATTGGGGGTAGAGAAGGGATTAAAAGGTAAGTATTAAAAGGTAAAGAGATAGAGAGAGAGGAAGGAGAGAGTGAGGCGCAGGGACAGCAAACGACGGAAGTAAGGAGAAGACAGGAAAGATGGACATGGTTGCTGGAGTCCGAGGACGGGGCACCACTGACGAGAGCTCTTATCGGCGTCGAGAGATGGCGTAGGGCAAGTCCAGTAAATCAGAGCTACGCTGTCGTCGAAGATCGGCGTCAAGAGACAATGTAGGGCCAGCCCAGTCGGCCAGAGCTACGCTGACGTCGGACAGGGCGAGGGCACAACTGGTCGGCACGAAATCCAGTGAGCGGGGAAACGTAGGATAGTAGGAGAAGGGGGTGCGCATACACATTGAGTTTGTGAACGCTGCGTGGTGGGATGCCTAGAGAAGAGAGAGGAGGAGCGAGCATTGGCTAGCAATCGCTGGCTGCGTCGGCGTTGGCTAGGGGAGAGAGTGGGTAAAGGGTAAGAAAGGAAAGAGGGAGAGGACGCGCATGTTCAGCAAAAGTGGTCACGCCGCAGACCGGATAGAGCTCGACATTCATCTAAAGAGAAAGTCGCTACGGTCGTCTGTTAGATGTATAGTTTTAGTTCTTGTGTGACTGCCGATGGTGGTGTAGTGGATATGGTGCTCTACTGCTTAGTCGGCCATCATGGTATCGGATCCAGGCCACGGCACCCTTATTTGCAGTGTGGGAGAGAATACCCGAGGCTCACGTGCATATATATGGGTGCGCGCTAAAGAACCTCGGCTGGTATACATTTTCGCAGCCCTCCAACAAAGCATCTGATGATTATGTTCTCGTTCTGGGATGTCAAAAGGGAAAAAATAGTGTTAGTTCTCGCGCACCATGAAGAACAAAGATTTATCATAAAATGGAATACCTAAAATTAGTATTAGTTCATAAATAACGTATACAGAGGATAATTTCGGTGCCAACAAAGACAACGTAAAAGTGAGTAGCGCACAGCGCTACTGCTTCTGTAATCTATTTTTCACATTGTTCAAAGTTTGTGGTTAAGCGCTCACCATAAATAGGCACATCCAATCTGTGCTATAAAGATGTACTTGAGCATGTCATTACAGTGAATTATTCACGAAAAATTGTTCCATTAAGGCGAAGGAGCAGATCCCAATAGGTGTAGCATGTAGCCGATGGCGATAGAAGTTTCGTTGAATCAATGATATTGAAAAACTTACACTCCCGGAATGCATATAATCAGGTGCGGAACATGTTAGAAATCACTGACGCATGTTTTACGTTCTGAAGGGTTTCTAAAGTGGCCGAAGATAAAGGACGAGACAATGTCAGCAATAAAACGAAAATGTACATAACGTAAGTCAATGGGAATACTTGCACGGCTTCATTAAATACAGAAACAAGAACTAACTCTCACATTTCAGAACAAGTTTCAAGTTGTACGCACAAAAAAAACATCCAAAACAATTTCAGCATTGATCAGGCTTTCCGCTAGTGAAGCTTCGGTGCCTATATTGCTGAGATGTACCAAAGACTTTTTAAGGCATCGTTGGTCAATGCAGCTTGATGTTCTGATGTAAGAAAATGCTCACCTGCAACAATGAGAGCGAAAATGCTCAGGCCCACAAGAATAACTTTAAACTGCATTTCCTCCTTGGTGACACTGCGGGCAGAAAATTAAAGAATTCAATGTGTGATGGCTAATGAAACCATAACAAAAGACATTCAATACTTAACACGTTCATCTGTTTGGCGCAGAGCAAGTGATCCGACTTCATATTGTAGCGGCTTTTTGCGAAAGTGAACAGGAGAATTGGGGTTCTTTTAGGGTTCACATTTACGTGAGGGCGAAATGGCACAACACCTGCACACTTAGTACGTCCCTACCACTTTTTCTATCCTGATGCTGTCTCAAGTACCTCTCGTCTTTTCGTGTATGCTAAGAAATGATGGATATTCTAGTAGATTAAAGGCCCTAGCTGGTAAAATAGATTAAGAAACCTCGCACCAGTGCGCACCTCATTCTCATAGATTTGTTTTGTAAAACCTGACAATTTCATTTCAGCTTTATACTTCCCGAAAACAGTGTGGCAGAAAGCCACAGTTCCATCTGTACACCCAGACATTATGCAATAACGATGCTATGGGTGTGCCATATTTTGGGAAGGATAATTTAGAAAAACTGTCATCTTCCGCGCTGACTTTCTAATTATCTGCTAAGAGATATAACTTTGGTGCTGAGCAATTCGTGAGAGTTCTCCTTCTATAACAGCTTATGTTTTCTTCCTTTTGGAAATCTCGATTAAATACTCAGTACATGTGTGCATAAGTGATGATTTTATTTAAAGCAAGGGCATGTGCTATAGATATAAGCTACGCACTGCTATTCATTCAATGAGTAACTTAGCACTGCTAAGCTACTCACTGCTGCATTTCACGGGGAGCAATATTTCACCATGTGCAGGTACCTCATAAAATTGTTAACTTGGGGAATTGTAGACTAACCTAGTCTGTGCTTGCATTTTTGAATGAAATGCTGACAACTGTAATCAATAAAAAAATCTAACTAATCTAAATCGTCTCGAACTAGATTAAAAAGCATCACGTACAAAATCTGTTAGCTGTAAATCAGTCCCAGGTAATGCACAAGACACGTAAATCCTTACAGAATGTTGCTAAGTCTGACAAGACCTGGGCCTTCAATTTTTCCTCAGTTTGGGTGATTTCTAAGGCGCAAAAAGCAACCACATGAAATCGCCCTGTCTAATGCATTGTTGTACGAGAAACTCATTACTTTCATAGCACGCTTTTTCAATTAGTATGTTGCATACTTGGAATGTCCTGCTATGAAGCTTTGATTTCTAAATTAATTTTAATCTTGTGAAATCTCAAGGTCAAATACCATTGTTTCATTAGTTGTCGCTTAAAACGTCGTTATCATTCAATATTGTACATTCCTGTGTTGTGCATATAACGATTGCCGATTGCCTTATGCATTAATCAAGCTTGTCGAGTTAAAGTTACATCCTAGAGGATCTTTTCTTTAAATAATACGACGCAATAACACTAGTCATTCCAATTAGCATCCGCAGAAGAGCCCCAACCACCGCTTTACATTCATAAGTTACCGAAGATCTCACCTTGTGACAACCCAGCGTCTCGACTTTTTCCAAATTGTCCTTTAGTTTTAGGTAGTCTGAGATAAGTTGCTGGGTTGCCTTTATACCTCTTCAATGTGTTTCCACGTGCGTACAAAATTGCAGTAATCGCTTTCCGCGACAAGATATGTTGTCAAAAATAGATCAGTTGATTGAGGTCTATCCTGTGTGGTTGTAATAGAAGTTAGCCACTTTGCCTGTATACAGAGCGACGCCGGAAGTATAGGCCATTATTTCTTGACAAGAAATAATGGCCCTCTGTCAATGGCACACCACTTACAATGATAATGTTATCTATATATGACCATATACATTCTTCGCCAGTTAGTCACAATGAAGCTTGCGCTTGATTGACACTTTAGTTGGGCCTTAGGTAACGCCCATTTTATTAGCTATTTTGTAGAGATGAGCGTAGATAGCAGCTGCAAACAATCGCACGATTTTTTTTGTGTGTGTGAACTCTCAGACGATTTGTTGGGATGGACTTCGGAACTTCTTTTGCTAGTGCATAGAAATCGGCGACTTGAATGCACCACATAGACTCATGAGCATGTGCATAGAAAACATGGTCCGGCTCACACATGAGCTTGAATTCCGGAAAATGCTAACTACCCTAACTGCCCCTGAACGATGGTTTCAAGATGAAAGGCTTAGTGTCACACTCTTTACTTGTTCTGCACAGTTCTAAACTTGTACTTGTTCACGAAGGAGTATCCTGCGAATGAAAAAAAAATGCGTTTCTGAATTTTTAGTCAACGTGTAAGCTAGACCATTGTTGCTGGGCTGTGTTCGTCGGCCTAAGAGGAAACTTTCGCATACAACTCGGCACAAAGCAAGCTCTTCAAGGGACATAATCTTGCAGCAGCCCTCGCAACTACTTTAAAGCGTTTCTGTTGCGACTGGTTAGACGCCAGTTTTTCTCTGTCAGCAGTTGTGGAACTGAAAAACTTCGCGAAAATGAAATGGAATGCACCAGGAGAAACCATCAGATGCAAGAAGGGTAACGGGCGAGCTGTTATATCCTGTAGATGCGCGACGCATTTCCCAAAAAAACAAGTGCTCGCTCAGCGCGCCGTTCTTCGCATGGTCCGGTCGGCGCCTGTGTACCTACGAGGATATTGTGAACGAGTAAACATGCATAAAACTTCTGCCTGTACCAACAAACAGTCTGCCCGTACTAAGTCTGCCTACTCTACAAACAAACACGTCACTCGGTCTGCCAAGCGTGGGCCCTGTGAGCTGTTCGTATACGTCGGCCTGATTGAGTGCTCCCTAAATGACTCTTTGCGAGAGCTCACTTGCAGTCATCGCATGGAAACTGGCAACAACATGACCTTCCATCTTGAATCCTATGATGTGTGCTGTGCTCGTGAGCCTTAATTGTCACAGTACATAGTCTACAGGTGCTGCAGCCATGCCTTTACACGAATGTTCCTTGAATCCACTGCAATATTAAGGAGCAAGCGTCATTCGTTAGTTCCCCGTTTGTAGCGTTGTCTCGTACTGAATTAGCATACCATGAAAAAGCCATGTAAGGTTTGTTCATGTAGCTTCTGCTTCACTTTATTGTCTCGCCTTGAGGGCTCAAGCCAATGCACAAAAAATTGTCAAAATGAGCGCCGGAGTACTCAAGTTATCAGTCTTGAAACTTTATGTTGTCATAGATGACAAGATTTTTAAAAAGCGCTCGCTTTCAAATTTCACTCTCCCACGGACGTCAGTGGCCCGTGATTTTCACCGTGCACTTTTATTTTCGTTGACATACTGGAAGTCTCGGCTCAAAAAATATCTCGGCAAAGAACCTCAGCTCTCTCACTCTATATATTGCACTTAGTACTCACTCTGACTTTGATGTGATTATGTTCAAAAGCACGCTTAGAAAACGACGTCTGTAGTGAGACCGTTAAATTTATAATTCATGTCATGATGAGGCTCCTTGAGACATCGGAATAACTTTACTGTTTCGCCAATACACGCCCGACAGGAATCACCGCATGGTATTGTATTCCACACTGGAATAATACGACTGGCGTGGTCAATGAAAGGAACGCGCCATCCCATCGGCCCCTAGCACTACTCATTCATCCAACACTAGTTACAATGAATAGGACAAAATGGACTACTACTTATTACCTTCATAATTGACAATGACAACGAGTTTAGCGCAATGAACAAGAAACCTGTATACAGTTCCGAAAAGTCAAGTACTCTGAATGCGCTTCCTTCAGAAAAGCAGCTTAAAATTGCAGTGAATGCTTTGAGGTTCTAATAACGTATACTTTATAACGTATACTTTATATAGAGCGTTGACGATGCATTTTCAGTTTGTGTTTGATGCGACATTTAAAAATTAGTGAGCAACAAAAGGGAGAGAGAGAGAGACTGAAGCTTGAAACCGCGCCTTTCTGTGTCGCAATGCGACTATGCATGGCTCCTTTTACACAATTTTATTTCCTATTACACGAGACTTTCTAATTTACGAAAAAAAAAATGCATAGCCTGTGTGTTGCACCAAAATATTTACCAGTCACTTCAGAATATCCTCTTCACCGTAACCAAAGACACTTCGCCCTCAAATGAAGTTTATAACTTTGCATGTTTGTTCGTAGCTAGCTTCCTATTTAAGTGCTATTAAGAAGAAAACCTAAGGGCTGCTATGGACATCACAGCGTATACGTCACTGGTTTTTCCCTAGCTGCATTAAGCTAGCTTTTGCCACAAAAATCTAGAATATAATTACGAGAAACCCCCACCGGCGTAGATGCTGCCGAATATGCAGACAGTCCGGCTTTCACAATAAGTGTTGCATACGCATTTGAAAATCTCGTCTTCAATGCATCGATATCAATTTTGACATAATTCTTAGAAGCATAGGAAGAATGGATTGCTGTAGCACTCCTTCCCAGCTAAGTGCGTTTGATCTCATTTTAAAACAGCAATCTGCAATCTCCCCCTTTCGAAAATGCACTTTTCCGCTGCTATAATCCCTGACTTATATTCTTCACCTAATCTACTCCACAGCCCCACATTCTGCACTCTACACATTCATTCTGCACACTACACATTTAGACAATGCAGGCGCTTCCACCCAAGCAGGCCCAAGCATTCGTCAACTGGGCTCAACACAACCTGTGTTGGCTTCTCAGCCCAGGCATCGAGTCCTCAGCTGCCATGAGGTAACTTTGTTGTGCCTCATTTCCCACCTCACACATCGCCAGTCGCTTAGATCTCTTCACAAAAGCGATCAGGGACTGCGGTGCTTCAAAAGTCTTCAGTCATGACTCATTTCTTTCTCTCCCTCAAGACGCGTGGAGAAAGCTTGCCTGGCTGCAACTTTCGTCCCACTTCCAGAGCCGACTTTAATTCCGTCTTTTTGAATTCCCGAACAAAACCAAGTTCTCTTGACAAAGGGTCACAACAACAGAAGTGGTGGGAGGTTGCAATGTGCAGCTGGCAGCAGGTTGGCACAGAGGGGAAGCACAGAAGTGTCAGCCCATCTTGAGTGCCCCGAGTGCCAATAGTCGTTCTGCCTTCCCGCCTGTTTCACACGATTCTTTCATTACTCAAAACAGTTGTTTCTTTTACCTTCCTACTCCTATGTGGGGTGATAATGTCACTTAATGTTTTCATTCGACAGGCGTTCATTTAGAGTGACTCGACGCACAGGATTAATAGAATATATTGTTTCTTCGATCGCATTACCGTTACTTTCACACTGATGGGGTGTGTTTAAAGTTCTTCTTTATTGCCGGGACATATTTGGAACAACTAAAATGAACCCTCAGTTGTTCACTGTTCATTAAAACTCCTCTGGATAATAAACACCTATTTCAATACATTTATATGCCTACATGAAGGAATCTTCGTACGTTTTCTTTTTCTTAACAGATGTGGGGAATTGCTTACCTTTCGAGTAACCGATACTATGTTCTTGCCGTCAAGTTGGCTTGCCAGAGTTTAGAAGACGATCTGATCGCAGCAGGATTTTATACGTGGACATACGTGCCAAAAACGTTCAGCCAATTCTATTCAAGTGACGCAGCTTGTAAACTAATTATTTTTAAAGGAGCACTTGCACAAATAATTACGTTAGATTCTACTTGCCTGGGAAAGTTCATTAGCCTTACACTCGAAGCATTAACAACACTCAAGTGTTGTGACCGCATTCTTCTATATTGACTGAATAGAACACGTGCCTGTCTGTTAGTTTATTATAATTTAAATTCACATGCTGCTATGCTTACACGTGTCTCATAAGGCGTCATTGTATATTGTTTTTAGCGTGTACCGCATAATTTCAATGTCAATCCGTTCCATATTCAGCATTCCTAAAGTGACAGCTGCTGTGCGACATGACGAATAACGTCACCTCTCACTTTCATTATCTTCATATTCAAAGGTCAAGGCTCCGAATGAAGCCAGCCCGATTCACCGACGCTCAAGGAATTTTTCTCATTTGCTCATCGGTAAAGATCCGCTTTTTAAACTTCAGTCACTTTTTACGTTTTTGAAAGATGTCCATAGATTTCACACCATATTTTGAGATGAACCGTAGCTTGACCTCTGTACAGAGGTCGTGGCTGCGACGGCTCTCTCCACCAACTTTCTCAATTATTTCACCTCAATGCGTATCACGTCACCGCCGTGATTTTAGTATTTTTTTAGTTTTAACCCGCCTCAAAGCGTGAAAATTTAGGCCCCTTTACAACCGCGAAATACTATCAATGTTCATATTCTGTTCATATTCCTTGAGTAACGCACTATTGCTTCTCCCTCATCATTGGTCATGGCGATCTTTAGCCATCACATCGCCCTTGCGCCAATGAATACCATATATCATCATCATCGAATGTTTCTGATTTACAACACAACGTGGACTTAAGTTAGCATTGGCAGTCGAAGGTGCCAGTTCAATAAAAAATCTCACAGCTCCAGCATTGCTCATCACTGACAAACAAACAACGCCGCACCCAAATCACGTGTTATGCCAAGTGTAAATAATCTCTTAGCGAACTTAAGGCACTTTCGTCATTCCTGTCGGTCTCCCTGTCTGTCTTTCTGTCTGTCTGTCCGTCTGTCATTTTCTATCTATCTATCTATCCATCTATCTCGCTGCTTTCGTCTAGGTACTTTATTGGTCATCTAAAAGAAATTCTAATATCGCAAGATCGGTATAACGCGGGATCAGTGTATGGAGAACACAATTCAGTGGCAATGACTTGAATAAAGCAAGGTAAGCCTTGGCGTACGTCATAAAAGTTATTCCTTTAATCACGTGTTGCCCCAGTTCTCATTATGCGGGCATGCATTACGGTTTATTCACAGCCTCAAATAATTCATTAGCAGCGAACATACACATTCAAACCCAAAGTAGAGGAGTAAAAGACAGGACACATCCGAAAAACTATCGATTATCATGTACTTGAACACTAAGTCTGCCAAGATGATACAGTGGTGGCAGAAGGTGACGACAGATCGATTCAGAAGAGTCGTGATAGCATGCGGCAATATACTATACAACAATGCGGATGTCAACTGCTATAACACAATATTCTCAACGCATGGGACGCTGCCTTTTGACATCGTGCATGCGATAACGCAACTGACGAGTGGACCTAGCAGGCACACAGGCACATCCTGGCCAGGTTGGCCAAGAAAAAAGTGACAGTCGTGGGCTGCCAGCTTCCATTCGCCCGAGTGCCCACAAGCCCTACATGATTACGGGGAGCATGACCAAAGAGACGGCATCGGTATTGGAACTACGGGCACCTAGAGGTACAGTGAGTATGACGAACTTCGCGCTACGGCTGCTTTAGTTTCCGGCGTCCTTCGTAGCCATTGTCGTTCCGGCCAAAAAGAAACACACATCACTACCGCACAACTCTCCGTATAAGATTGAAATAGGCACCCATTGTACTGCGAATCACCGCAAGCACGATATACGCCAGAATAAATGTCTCATGCAAGAAGACGCGATGTCTCATAGAGCAGGCAAAATGCCTAACTATACAAAAGTTCCACTGGACTATACGCTCATGCAGCACACGAATACGATAAGCGCCGTCCACGGAAGTTGATCCACGCCGCCAATTCAAAGCTACCAAGCTCGACGGCTTCTATCTCACCACCACAAAAGGTGACTTGAGGTTTCGGCACGTCACCTACTCTTTGTCGACAGACAGTTTGTCAATGATATGACTCTGTTAGGAGACAGGCCTCTACACACTGCCTTGGACCTGGCTGCCTTCATTCCGTGCCACAACCACATCTCTCAACGTACAGTATGTGCGCGCACATGCCTCACCTAGAAGAAGACGCTCTTTTCAGACAAACTGCCAAGTTAGTGTTTTGAAAAACCTGCAGCGATGAGGCCTATGCTATCACCCGACTCCATCGAGTCGTCGACAGCAAACACCTTTCTTGCAAATATGGAGACGTGACTCTTTCCCTTCAGGCGCGAATGAAGATGCAGTGACTAAGTGCACTGCAATGTGTCCTAATTCACATTCCATTGCGCTAAATATTACGTCCCAAGAAAACAAACATACCAATCTGTAGTTAAATGTGAGTTTAAATCATTATTGTTCATCATCACCATCGTCATCGCTGTTCTCAGCCTGTTTTAGTCCACTAAAAAGATGAAAGCATCTCCCAATGACCACCAGTTTGCCCTATCATGTGAAAGCTGATTCCACTTTTATTCTTAGCTTGTATTAGAGCGGTACATATAAGAAAGAAAGACGAGACAGACATGAAGAAAAGTAGGCGCTAAACTTCTAACAGTTTCTTTAGTGTCATTCACACCAGTCCTATACATGTACAAAAACAACACAACTCATCTTGCACGTGATTTCATTCCAAAGAACGTCATTTCCTTTACCATCAAAACATTGATGGTGAACTCACTCACAAGTTTCCAATATCTGCGATATCTTCAGCTTCTTTTATTTCCCGCGTGAGCTGTTCTACTCCTCATACCTGACTGCACATTCCTTGACGCCACGATCACGAACATGTTCGATAATAAGCCCTGCCCTGCTGGAGCTGACTCAGCAGGGTAAGGTTGATTAACTGTCAATAACCTCTTTTACACACACACACACACACACACACACACACACACACACACACACACACACACACACGCACACACACACACACACACACACACGCGCGCGCGAACACGCACACACACACACACACACACACACAGCTTTGTGCAACATGAACACCTTCTTTATAAATGATAAGTATAGGCACTGTATATCAGTCTACCGCTTCTAGTGCTGGCAATACGTTGCTGTTGGCATCGTCACGCAACTGCCAGCAAGCACATATAGACCACTTTACCTAATTCATCTGGGCGCCACCATCTTGGGCTGAATAGCGTTGTTTCTTTTTTTTTGTTTTGTTTTTTGTAACGTGAATGAATGAGGCCGCGAGTATGCACCAACACAACTGTTTTCATGCATAAACGTCTACGTAACATAAGGCATGCATTCATTACAAAAATTCACTCTTTAGACCGACCAGATTTTTTGAAGGGTTCCTACCGAAGATATCCGTAGAAAAAAAACATCTATAGCAGCTGTTAATATGCACATTGTAATAAAATCAAAAAGAAAAAAGATGCCTAAATGACGCAGAACGAACATGTATAGCCCAAAAGATAATGTCGGTAAATGAAGAAAGTTTCATCGATAGTTTATAAGAAAACGCCTCTTAGAAAAGAAAAAAAAGAAAATCGTAGCTGCAAGTAAATTTGCTATACCATTCCAGAAGGGAGTGCTTTAGCTTCTCTTAGGAACCTGTTCAAATGTGCTTTCCTGGTTAAGTTGGAATCAAACTTATTCTATAGAGATGTACCTTGAATGTTTGGCGTAGAATGACCGTATTAGGAGTTATCTTAGGCGGCATAAAATGACGACGCGATACATTCATAGCAGTGCGAGGTAAGTGGTGGGGCGAGACTGTTGCCATGACGAGTTTTTCATCGAGCACTTGGTGCATGAGAAAGGCAATGCTGTATACTACCGTATGGTGAGTATAGAAAATGTTGATATTTTAAAATAAACCTTTGCTCTTTATGCAAGTCGTGTTATGTCCTATAATGCAGAAAGCCCCCTTTTTGAAGCGTGTACACAAGTGACAAATCACTTTCCTATGTACAACCCCAGATCTCTATACAGTACCCAATGCGTGAGGGAACAAATACATAAAGTTTATAAGTATGTTGTTAAGGAAGTAGTTGTGACATCTTAAACGTATGTGAAATTCATATGAAATTTTTTTTAACACAGATTGCACATGCAGACGAAATTTTAAGCGTTTGTCGATTATAACACCAAAAAACTTTGTCTCCATATATTTTTTATGGGATGATGATTGTAAGTTACGTCAGAATGATTAATTGCTTTCCTTGTTTCAGAGTGAAACAAAACAAATACCGTCTTTATTGGGTATACGTGAATACCGTTCGAATTGTACCACTGATGCAACATTTCTAATTCTCAATTAAATATATTGATCCTTTTAGCTTACCCACTATCGGCTGTTATGAGGTTAATATCATCTGCCTACATCACAGGGGTTGTAAAGAAAGTTATGAAGGCAAGTCATTTACATACAGTAAGAAAAATAGATACGAACCCCTGGCGAACGCTAATGTTAATAAGGGTACTGTTGGACTGGAAATCTCCAAGTTGAACAATTTCGTTGCTGGTCCTATAAATAACTGCGAATTATCTTCAGATGTATCCCTTAATTTTTAGCGAAATAATTTCTCGTGTATTATACCGTGGTATAGCGAATCAAATGCTTTAGCGAAATCCATGAAAAATCCTGTCACTAAGTGTCCATTGTCTATTGCCTTAAGAAATACATCTGTAAAAGTTGAAACTGCTATTTGTGTAGACAGACCTTTTCTGAAACCCAAATGGGGCCCAGGAAAATATTACGCTTTTTTCAAATAGTCATTAGGACTGAAAGCGAATACTTTTCCGGCAACACTGAAATC